TATTTAATTTTATAATATAAAAAATTCCTTTTTCCAAGAGATATTGGTTGATATATTTTTTTTCAGATTTTTTATATCTACTATACATTTCTCATTTTTGAAAGTCAGATATCTTATGGAATATTTAGGCATAACAGTATCATAACATATGATATCCTTATTATATATTTTATTTCTCAATTTATAAGAGTATCAAAACATATGATATCCTTACAATATTTAGGTATAAGAGTAAAAATAAATAAATATTAGGATCAAAATCCGTCTTCGATCACTTATTCTTTAGAAAAATAAAATACCATAAGTGAAAAAAATAAATAAAATTACCTCCTTGTTCTTCAGCAAAACCCAAAGATAAACATTTTCTTGCAGATTGCTCAGCATGCTTGCTAGCACTTTTTCTTTCATTACAATATGCAACAACTTCAGTTACCACTTCAGATGCAGGACCTCCATATCTCACAGCTGCAGACAACAATGCTTCTCTACCTTCCTCATATTCTACAGCCTCCTTATCATAATAAAGACCAGTAAAACATCTATTGCCAATCCCATCACCTGCATCAGATGCACCACTACTCTGCCTTTTCTCCATATAGACCTCTTCAGCTTCAACCACTGCAGCCAATGTTCTATGTACAATAATGTCAGCATACCTTCTCAATGGAGAAGTGAAATGTGTATAGAGTGGGATTGACCATCCATAATGAGCCCACTCATCTTCTCTGCCTCTCAAATCTCCTGTCCAAAAATAGCCTGCTAATTGCATTGTCCTTGCAGCACGTGCCAAAAGAATTTGAAGCAACACAGGATCATTCTTCAGTTTCTCTCTCATCTTGGGTAGTGCGAGCTGAAGTTTGCCGGATGATGAAACATCCAACTCGAGTCCACGTTTCCTACAAAATTCTTGGAACTCTTTGAGCTTCATCGACATTGGCTCAGCATGCCTGCGATGTATAGCACAGCCTGGGAAAGCCTTGGATATGACCTCCGCAACTGATCCATTTGCCAGCAGCATCAACTCCTCAACAAGACAACTTGACTCCTTCCTCACACCAAGGAAGCTGTCATTTGGATTCCCACTCTCATCCAACAAGAAGACAAGCTTAGGAGTCTCAATCCAAAATGCTCCATTTCTTAATCAGATCTCCCTCATCTTCTTGGTGACACCATGCAGGCTTCTAAGAGAATCAACAACATCCTTTAACTCAAACTGCCCATGCAATTTAGGTACCGTTTTCCCTGAAACATCAACCTCAAATCCTCCATCAATGATGTCCTGCACATCATCGTATGATAGCTTGCAGCATGAATGGATTATAGATCGATCGATCCACAGCCCGGTGATGTTTCCGGTGTCATCAATGTCTCAAGTGATGGAGAAGGCAAGCCTATCCTCACTTGGTACAAGCAAACACGCTTCCTCAGAAAGCTCTGGAGGCAACATTGGCAACTTGTGCTGCGGTATGTACACACTGGTGGATCGAATTCGGGCTTCTCTATCTAATGCTGTGTCTGGAAGAACAAACCTTGAAACATCAGTGATGTGGACACCGATTCGAGGTCGGTAGCAGATGCAGGATCAATTGTGAAGGTGCAAGTGTTTCTAAGGTCCTTTCTGGTGTCATATTCCTCCGTAGGGATCTTTCATGGTGCTTCTGGAAGACAAGACAAAGACTCCGGAGAGAAGTCTGCAGCACTGATTGCATGCTTAAACAATACAGCACTTATCTGTGGCCCAATTTCCTCCGCTCGCCCCAACATGCGGATAACTTGTGCTTTGGGGCAAACACTTCCTTCCTTCGACTCCTCTATTTGAGCAGCTACCAATTCCCTTTCGATTGATACATCGTCATTGATGAGCCTTTTCTTTGCACAACCTGGAAGACTTTCCACAGTGATTACCATCATTGGCAATTTGGCATCTGTAGGCATCAGCTGTACGTAATCCAACTCTCTTCCATTTTCTTCTCCTTCAGGAAGCCATGGATTCAAAGCAAGAAGACCAATCACTGTTCCACGATAAGGAGAGCTTTTGATGATAGACAAGACTCTGCCAGTAGGACGCTCCGATGGATTGCAACTCATCATAGCACGTATCATTTCTACTGCTTATCCCTGCTCAGATTCCCCATTCTTAGTTGAATCTGTTGATGCCTCGAAGGTCAACGCATCATTCGATCCTCTCAACTTGGTCCCGTACACAACAGGATCCGACATTACAGCAACTGACTGCATCATCATCTATCTACACACAATCATGTTAAGGAATCATCATAAGACAATTATCAAATTTGATCCGCAAATATATATCGAACAAATCATTAAACTCTAATTGGGTTTTAGCCACTAAGATAACTTCGTTGTCAAACACAATAGGAATCGGGCTTGCACTCCTAATCCGAGTTGGGTCAGTTCCAACACTACCCAATTTTGTCTAAATAATTGAATTAAAATAGATAAAACTGGAAATAATGAAATCTAATAATTTAATGACACAATATTAAGTATAAAAATAAATCATATTATAATTCAAAATTTTATTTTTCATCTATTAGAAAGAAAATTTCTACAATTATCTATGCCATGAGTCCATAGCATATTTTCTTTCATGAATGAAGGTGAATTAAGATTCGAATATAATCAATCTCATACAAATCATTAATCATAATAACAGAACATATTATCATTTAAAAAATAAAGTAATTAAGTAACCTCATGAGAATAGAAGACCTCCATAAATTTTTCCCCACGATATGACTCTTTCTTTGATTTAGATGGAGAACCTATTTAGAACATCTCTGTAAATCTTTCCCCATGATCAAAAAACTCGTTGATCACTTAAGATAGATGAGAAGAGGATAATTCCAACCATCTATCTAAATAGGAGAAGAGGAAGACTTGAAAAAATGTCTGAGATTTTAATTTCTATCTTTGATTTCGTATTAATTAAAAAATAAAACTATAACTTATTTAAAGGTATTAATATAGGAAATATTATTTTTTTAATTAAAATTCTTGATAAGATATTTAGAAAATAAATAAGGGTATTTTCATTAGAAATAAAAAAATTAATTAATTAATTAATTAAGAAGCTAACGACTATAGCTTTTGTCGCTTGCACAACTACTTCTCGGTTGATTGGAATTGGTGCCCATTGATATAGGGATTCTCATCAACTTGACAACGTTAGCTCAAAGATCATGTCAGGTATTCGATCAACCTCATAGGTATAATGCAAAACCAAATTAGTTTATATCTTATTTGAATATATTTGATTAGTTTAAGAGTCATTTCTCTAAGATCACAAGTTGCCACATTACAACATGTGAAATAATTCTAATGTAGTTTGTAGATTACAAAGAAAGAAAAGAACAAGAAATTAAATTATGATTGTAAATAAAGATTACAAATACAAAGATATATCAAATCGTTATTTCTACATAAATGGAAGCCTATCATCGAAGATTATTTTCAAGATAAATTTAAAATGTTATCTTCTTCGAATAACAAAAGAACAAATAATTTATTTAGTTTGATTTAATTATTTTTTTTATCTCTAATTTTTTTTCTCTTTTGTGATACTTAGGCTTATAAAAAGGGGCTAATACCTTGTAATAGAGAGCATAAAAAAAATAGATTAATAAATTATACTCTTTTCCTATATAATATGTGGGTGATGTGATACCATATTTTTTTAAATAATATTATTCTATCATAAGATGTATATTGATGCAAAACCTATATTTTATGAATTTGATAGTTATATTTTATTTTATTATTATCTCTTTGTTATTTTTTTTCCTCTCTAGTTCTCTTTCAGACAAACGAAGACCACCTCCTTCGACAACACATCATAGATATACAATCTATCGATAGTGGTTCATCGATTAAACATAAGGAATCTCATATCGTCTACAAGTGGGCGATATGATAGACTAAGTAGAATAGTAGAACAACAATATAAGTAGATCATTTAGGAATTATAAATTAAAATTAAATAATACTTTTTTGCAAGCGAGGGGTGTTAACAAACAAATCTAAATAAAAAATAGATTTGAAATACTTCTATGATCCACAGTATTTGATTTCAAAATATGACTTTGATATTAATCATAAGTATAAATATCTTGATTATATTATTATTATACGAAAAATTTTAATGTTAAAAATTTAAATCACATAACAATAGATCAAATATACGATGTATATCTTTCGATATTATTTAGAAAGTTTTTATCTAATCTGTAAGTGCACTATCATCGAATTTGAAATCTATAGTATATGTATGAAAAGCTAGATTCACTTTTTTCTCTCTTCATATCCTTGAAAATATTACTATTAACAATGAATTAAGGACAAAGGGAGATAAAAAATATATATAATCTCTTAATAATTAGTTCATCTCTCAATAATATCATATATCTACATTGAGTCATAAGGTTCTGTCTATTTATAAGCGACAATAGAGAGTTTAGGATAAATAATTAGGAGTTTATCCCCTAAGAAATCTTATAATAATCAAACTTTTTTTATATTGATCCATGTTCATAATCAAAATTCAATCATATAATTAGACAATCATCATATAATCCAGCCACTCTAGATTCAAGTCAGATCTTCCCGCAGCTTTAATACTTGAGTAGAACCCCTCTAGCAACTCACCACTGCCCGAACACGCAAGTGTTCGAAGCTTCCTACACGGTTTTAGAAATGAATCTTCCTCTAAGAAAGACATTTTTGCTGGTTCAACAGGTAGCAGCCATCGCAGCCTTAATGGACTCGATACCATGATCAACGAAAGCAGTAGCAGCACCCACCTTGCCTCAAATCCACCCTCAGCTGAGTGCATTCCTAATTCATCGATTGTTTACTGTGATGGATCCTTCTTTCGCTAAGATGTCAAAGCAGGTCTAGCTTTTGCTTTGTGGATGGTAACAACAACGTAATCATAGAAGACAGCAACATACATCAAGCTTCATCTCCGCTCCAAGTTGAATTCTGGGCTATCTCAAGTTTATGCACTCACAAAAGCCTCCCATCTGAATCTGCGAAACTTTATTCTCAAATCCTATTATCTTAAGGCAGTTTTGTTTTATAATAAATCTAGGATATTTTTTTAACTGGTTGAATATGTGGGTGTTTTATCTTTTGAATATGTTAATATGAAAGAAAAAGAAATGATCACATGTAAATACAATCCATTCTCGAATAGTAGTAAAAAGGTACTATTAGCTCAAAATTAAAACGTGAAAATTTTTTTTATTAAACTTCTTAAAAAAATAATTACAGATTTTAAAAGACTTATACTTCAATTCTATTGGCTTGAATACTTAAGATTTGAA